AATTTTCTGGTAAGTTAAATAAAAATATGCTTCAAAGAGTTGGTCATTTTAAAGGCATTTTAATCTGTCCAAAATGGGCTAAGTAGTTAAATGTGTCACATAGTAACACATTAGAAGCCTGAAATGTATTATTATGATGAAAAACAGAGTAACCAGTTATTCACTGCTATCAAGAGAGCCTCACTCTCACTTCAAGAGAGATTCAGACCTCTCACTCACAATTTTTCTCTTTCATTTTGGACTGTAAAATGCTTGTGACATTGTATCCCAAGGGTTCATCTATTATTATATATTTCCCCATACATGTTGGGGCTGTGTGTACACCATGAAGATATCGATCTATGTTCCAAGAACAGGTAAGAGATTTTGCAATTTAGGGATGCCAAATCAAGTGTTAGTCATAAGTGACCTTTCCAAAATTAACTGAGTTAAGCACCCAACTCCATTGATTATTAACAGATACAAAATATTCTATGTATTTCAATGATTTATTTATTTACTGTCATGCTTTGTGCATTTTGTTTTAGTCACTGTATTGCTGACAATCTCTTGCTTTTTTTGAATGTCATTCCTTGTTTTAGTGTACATTTGCCCTGTAGTCACAGAAATGACCACAACGTAGTTTAGAGATATGCAAGCTAACTTTAAGTAAATCAGTGTGGATATTGGTAGTAAACTAACAAATAGAGGTCATCAGGTCTGAAAAGCAATCTTAGGTATCTCTACAACGCAGTCACAAAATGTAGGTTTATATTCTTTTTTCCTCGCTCTGCTTTCTGTCATCTACTTTTGAAATGAAAAGTGAGAGAGAAGGATAATGTAATCAAACTGAGTAATTAAGTGAAAGAACATATTTCAAAGCTGTAATATCTCTATTCTATTCTATGTTAATTATTACGAGAATCTGTGTTAGAAATCTGAATATTTCTCTAATCCTGGAAACATTCTCGCAAAGGCTAGTGATTAGAATTGCAAAGGTTGCAAGAAGGCATTTCCATTTCCATCAAGAAACATCATGATGGAGGTATTTTTCTTATGTATTTCCTTGTGTGTTTCCACATAAAAATTCGAAAAATATTTTACACCAGAAAACTGCCAAAAAGCAAGGAATTTTAAGGTAAATTCTGCAGAATATGGAAGGTGATTTCAGTTTGTCCAGAAAATGGTTAGTTGTTAGCTTTTCTGATGAAAAAAAGGCAGGAGGAGATGTGGAAATCACAGTCCATATATTCAGCTTTTCATGTATTGGAAAACCAAGTTTGGCCTCAAAATGCACCAGCAGAATTTCTGTGAGCAGCACATAATCATCACTATCAACAATAGGAACAACACATGTCTGTGTTTGTTTTAATAAACATTTGTTTGAGAATTTACCTGTCTGTCTATCTAACCAACTTTTACAAAGTCTATCACTTCAGGGTCTGGTGTGAAAAATGTCTTCTACAGCTAGCCGATGAATTTCCTTTCCACACACCGGAGTCAAGCAGGAGAACGTATTTCATTCTGCAGACATTTGACCTTGTACAAGGTAAGGTAATGAGTAGAGAGCTCACAGTGCATTTACTCCATTGCAAGATGAGATTTCCACCCGTCCTGCCCATTTATCATGGGGAAAACAAAGTCTCATTTTAGAATTGAGTATGATACTGTTCCAGCTAAGAGCTTTGGGAGTGGCTTTGCTGGAAGCCATGCATGGCCAGGGACAGCATAAGTGGCACACAGGTTCCTGTTCTCTTCTCTGTCTGGCTTGCCATCCCGTACCTCCCTTGCTAGCAGGGAGCCAGGCACAGAAGGAAGAACTAAGTGTGTTCCTGTCCCCAGCAGTGTGAAGCAGTTGTGGATCTCAGGCTTTTCCTATTCCAGGCTCAGCTGGGAAAAGCAATGGAAGGTGGAGACAGGCAGTGGGAGGAAAGGCGAGGAGGCAAGTGGTTTGGGAAGAGGCACCAGGGCAGCAAGGGGTGGGTGTCAGGATACCTGCTTTCCCATGTTGCCTGTCTGCCCACTCTTGGTTTTGCCACCTCTTGCCCCACTGCCTCTGCTTTCTCCTTGACTGCTTCCTCCTACTTCTACTTTCCCCAGACTTCCCCCCACAACATGGGTTCCCCACTGCCTGCCCCTGTTTTCCCCACCTTCTGCCCCTTGTCTTTGCTTTCCTGCCACAGTGGTAGGGGAAACAATTTTAAGAAATATATTCTAGAGATGGAAAATCATAACATATGTATCATTTTCTAAATCTAGGGTCTATTATTGGGCATGGGGAGTATATCTTAAATTTGAAATCATCTTAGACTGGGGTAAATACAGTAATATATAAAACACCTTTAGCCTTGCTTACTCCTTTAGAAATATCATTGAGTAGACCATAACATTGAGTAGACTGAGACAAATTGGAGGATTGGGCCAAAAGAAATCTCATGAGGTTCAACAAGGACAAGTAGAAAGTCCTGCACTTAGGTACAGAATAATCCATGCACGAGGACAGACCGGGGGATGACTGGTTGGGCAGCAGCTCTGCAGAAAAGGACCTGGGGTTACAGTGGACAATGAACTGAATATGAACCAGCAGTGTGGCCTTGTTGCAAAGAAGGCTAAAGGCATACTGGGCTGCATCTGTAGGACTGTAGCCGACAGGCCAAAGGAAATGATTATTCCTCTCTATTCAGCACTGGTCAGTTGTGGGGTCCTGTGTTCAGTTTAGGGCCCCCCACTAGAGAAAGGATGTAAACAAATTGGAGAGGGTCCACCAGAGGACAACAAAATGGTGAAGGGGCTTGGGGATTTGACTTGCACAGAGAGGTTGAGGGAACTGGGATTTTTTAGTCTAGAGAAGAGGAGACTGAGAGGGGATTTAATAGCAGCCTTCAAATACCGGAAAGGGATTCATAAGAGGATGGAACTACGCTATTCTCAGTGGTGGCAGACAACAAAACAAGGAACAATGGTCTCCAGTTGCAGGAAGGGAAGCTTAGGTTAGATATTAGGAAGAATTTTCTCAGTAGGAGGGTAGCAAAACACTGGAACAGGTTACGCAGAGAGGTGGTGGAAGCTCTCTCCTTGGAGGTTTTCAAGACCCAGCTAGACAAAGCTTTGGCTGGGATGATCTAGTTGGGGCTGGTCCTGCTTTGAGCAGGGGGTTGAGCTACATGTGACCTCCTGAGATGTTACCCTTCCAATACACATTTCTATGATTCTCCTTTGTCTGGGGGCCCGATTCCCTTCTATGTTTGGGGAGTATTTGTACTCACATTTTTAACCTACTGGGGAAAATGATTTATCCTAAAATCCTGCTAATAGGTTGCTCTCAATCAGTCTTATTGAAAGCTGTTTCACTTTGTATAACATCATTAAATATTCATGGTACTAAGATAATATGAATAACTCTAGAGCTGGTAGGTAGGCTACTCATCTGGGTCGTCTATTTTTTTCAGATCCAGCTTCAAGGATGTCTAAATTTTGCATACAAAATGGGCATCTCTTACAAATTCTATTAAAGGTCATCAGTTGCCAGCTACTGTATAGAACGGTGGTTCGGGTACTTCTCCTGTGGGTAGAAGATATGATTTCCAACTCTATCAGATGGAGAAGAGAAGTGAATGTGGGTCTCAGACAGGCTAACTGAATTGTCTAATGTCTGAGATTCTGGTAAACAGATGTCCTGTACGTCTCCCTGTTTTTCTTCTTTTTTGTTTCTTGTTTACTTCCTTTTTTATTATTTGCACATAGGACAAAACAACATTTTTCTAAAACTTCCTAAAGGAATTTGAATCTGAACTGACACCCCCCACGCCACTTTGTTTGTTTCAGTTTAGCCTGTCCCACTTGGGGAAAATGCTATTCTATCATGGTCTATCCATTTTATTTAAAGAGTAAAAATTCAAGGTACCAAAAAACGTTGGAGAGCAGGGACTATCTAACCCCTTCTTATGCCCCACTCCATCAGTGTAGGACAGTGTTCATTCTATGTGGCTCACTTTTTTAGCTCTAACTATTGTTCATATTTGGCTACTTTGCTTTGCCTCAAGAAGATCTCTGCACAATGTTCTGGGAAATGTTTAGCCCAGGACCCAGTGATTTGGGTCCTGATGATAGATTAGGCACAAACTTCCTCTGGATAAGGTGTGGGAAGAGCCAATATCCCTTACTTCCAAGACATGGTGGAAGTGCTGTCCGCATTCTTCAGCATCAAACTGTCACAAGCTATTTCTTTCCTTCTGTGAACCTGCTCCCTGGGATTTACACCCAGTTACACACCTCCCCAGGTAGAAGAAGATCACTTCTCACCAGAATCCTTCTCAGGTTTAGCAGAAGTGTACAGGCAACAAAAAGCTATAGAGTATGCAAATGTGCCAAAAAGGCTCTGTATACAGTTGCATTTGGGAATCTATGTTAAGTTTAGGGTCTAAAGATGAATAAGATTCTGGCCTTCAGAGTCAGATTATATTGCTTTGATTATCACAATGGAATTAAGTGTTTAAGTGGGACTCTAGTCCACCCTAATTCCTAAAAATCACTTAAGATATCTATTTTTTATAATAAACTATCACCTGATCCTTAAGAGTAAGTTACCTAAAAAAAAAATCAGAAAAGTGCAGGACCCACAGAACTCTGTTAATATATGTCATCTTACCTTCCTGACAGGGGGAAAGAATCTAGCCCTATTGATTTCCAAGCTGGTTGTTGCATGTAATTGTGAATTTTACTGACTCTGATTTCAATCTACTCATTCAAAATATTGATTATTTTTATCTCATACTTCAGTATGATTTCATATATATATATGATTAATATATGCCCATCCCTGGAAGGCAAGGGGACAGGAGGGGGCATAGGGATTAGGAAGGAAATGGAAAAAATGGCATCTTTTGAAAATCCGGGTGCTTAAAAAAGGTCAGTCTGAGCAGCTTTGTCTCATAATTGCTACCTAATATCAGAAAATTTATGTTGCTCTGGTTTGCCTCTTTTCTTAGGACTAAACTTTGTCGTGAGGAGAAGAAAACCACATGGAAAGAAACAATCAGACAGTTATCACAGAATTTGTTCTCCTGGGAGTGTCTGGCCTTCCAGAACTACAGGCCTTGCTGTTCCTTGTATTCCTAATGAGCTACATTACTGCACTGACAGGAAACCTTCTCATCTTTACCTTGACATTGGCAGATTCTGCTCTCCACACACCCATGTATTTTTTCCTCAGGAATTTGTCCTTCCTGGAGATCTCTTACACCTCGGTAACCCTCCCAAAGATGCTGGCCAACCTCATCTTGGAGGATAAAACCATCTCATTCACTGGCTGTGCCACACAGATGTATTTCCTTCTATTTCTTGGCGGCACAGAATGCTTCCTCTTGGGCGTCATGGCATATGACCGCTACGCTGCGATATGCCATCCCTTACACTACACATGTATCATGAATAACACAAGGTGCACAGTAATGGCTGCTGTGTCATGGTTGAGTGGTATATTCATGTCCTTTGTCCACATCTCAGTCATTTTTATCTTACCTTTTTCTGGCTCCCATGAAATCAATCATTTTTTCTGTGACATCCCCCCAGTCCTGAAGCGGGCCTGTGGAGACACTTTCTTGAATGAAATTGTGGTCTTTGTGTCTGCCCTTATATTCATAACATTTTCCTTTGTCTTGATTCTGGTGTCATACCTTCTTATCATCATTGCTATCATGAACATGCCCTCAGCTGAGGGTAGGCAAAAGGCTTTCTCCACCTGCTCCTCACACCTGGTGGTGGTGACATTGTTCTACGGGGCTGGCATTGTTATGTATCTGCGCCCTAATTCTGCATATGCCCCAGATATGGACAAACTGCTCTCTCTCTTCTACACAATCATAACCCCCATGTTAAATCCTATCATATACAGCCTGAGGAACAGGGAAGTGAAGGGGGCTCTGAGAAGAGTGATAGCCAGAAACTGCTTTCTGAAAACAAGGTCATAAAAATACAGGCGACCCTTGCCATTCGCGGGGGATATGTTCTTGTATCCCCCGTGAATGGGGAAATCTGTGAATAAGGCACTGCATTCCTGATTGCAGTCTGCGTTCATGAACGCAGTGCCCCTGGCGGATGGGGGGGGCATGGCTCCGGCTGCGACAGTGGGAGCACGGCGGCAGAAGCCCAGTGGCAGCAAGTGCAGAGCTCCTGAGGAGCTCCTGTAAGTGTATAAAGTGTATTTAAAATGTGGGTTCGGCATTTGCGAATATTTGAAACCGTGAATGCCAAACCCTTGAATAGCGAGGGTTTCCTGTAGTACAATGAGGCAATGATGGAACCATGTAAAACACTTGAGATATGGGTTTATCTGGAGTGAGGTTGTAGTTGAGTTAGATACAGAAATGTTGGTTAATCTATAGGAACATTCCTTTTCTGCTCTGTCCAAGCAAATTTGCAGTTTAAGAGGCATCTGAGAAGATCACATCTAGGAAGTTATATTTTTGTATTTCTATTGCTTGGTTTTCTTTTCAATGGAAAAATATACTTAAAGTGGTTTCATTTTCTCTAGAAACTTAAGTGGGAAATTCATCTAAATGCTTAAGGTGTTATCAAAAAATCTAAAATTTGAAGATGTTTCTTTATTCATTACACAAGTCACCCCATTTGCCTAATGGACATATATAGTTGACTAAAACCTTCCAAAATGTGTCTTTAGGTTTACAGTTTTTCACTTACCCTGCCACCTCTCAAATTAAAAGGCCATCTTCCATGAGAATGAAATAAAAGTGTTTGCCCCTGATGTTTTAATTGTATAATTAAAACAAAAATTCTTGACTACGTCTTTAGATCTGATGGGTGGGTTAAATCTAAAAAGCAGGGAAACATATCCTGCCTAACAGGATACTAATGTGCATGGGCCATTCAGGATTATCTTTCTATTCTGTATACACAAGGTCTATCTTTCTACCTTTGTGAAGAGTAGAGTGGCTAGAATAAGATTTGGGAAAACTAGGGGATGCGTGACATGGATTCATTTTGTAACAGGTCATGACTATTATATGTACATCTTTCTGTGACTGATTTTGTCATGTTTGTTTAATAAGTATGTAAAGAAAGATCAGTTGGGAAATTTTAGACATGAGCTTTCCTTTGATACCTGGAACTACATTGGAAATATTAAAGAAGGATGTGTAAGTACCCTGAAGATAATAAAAGGATAGCTTTGTTCATCATATCAAACCAGTCTCATCTTCTTTCTTGATAGAGCAGGCTGCCTAGAGGGTGAGGGGGAAACAGTAGATATAAGGTAGGCACTACTGATGTATAATACATCCATGGGTATGTGTGGTGTCTGACTAACATGTGGGCATCCTGAATGGGTTTCTTGAGCATACCAGATATCCTGCCCATGATGCCCAGTGTTTGGCTCAGGCTTGGTTACGGAACTGCTGCTGCAGCTGGGCCTGGCTGCATGGCCTGTGCTGGTACCAGGGCTTGGGTACCTCTTGGGCCAGGGCTGGATCCTAGGGCTCCCCCTGGTTAGTGAACTGCTAAAACCTGAGGTGCAGGCACATGTCCTTGACTTCTCTCTGGCCTTCAGTCAGTTCTCCCTTAAGACTCAAACCACACATAGACCAGGCCCAGTCTACATCTGGGACCACTGTCCCTCTTGGTGGTCTCTCCAGGCATCCCATCTCTGTCTCATAGTTATACCCTGTTCTCTAAATCTGAATACCTTCTGTTTTTGTTCTTAGCCTGTCCCTGTCCCCTCAATATGGACTCCTTTAATTCCTAGTCAGCTTTCTTGCACTCCCTACAGCTATTCTTCCTGTTCTGTACCTCTCTCTCTGCTCTCCCTGGGTCCCCTTCAGTTACTTCTTCCATATTTCAGGGCTCACAATCTCTCTCCTTGTTGCTGATACGATGGATCTGACACACCTTTGGCCTCTTGTAAACAGTCCAGCTTCAGATTGGCTGAACAGCAGTAAAGAATCAGTGTTTCCTACATCTAAGGGACAAATGTAAATGCAACCAAGTGTCACCAGTTTGGAAACATATTTAAAAAGTAGCAGTTCCAGGGCAAACAGAAGTATTTGGTCTGAGCATTCTAGGCTGAGTGGCAACCCGTAGTGCTATTTCTCCACCACCTGGATGAGAGGGGAGGAAGGAAGAGGGGGAAGAGAGAGAGAAGGAGAGAGATCATCTCAACATGTCCTGTGATGGCCCAGTCTCTGAAGGCCCTGAGGACTGCTGAACACAGAGGAAGATTCTAAGCACCTCTTCCCAGCTCCAGTTATGGTGTCTTTGTGGATGCACTGGACAATGGTGGAACAGACAGAGTTGTGGGTTCAAACGGGTGTTCCTTGAGCCAGTATTGTCTTCCAAGTTGTTGCTGGGTAATGTGGCCTTCATGGACATGTGCCTTCATGTTCAGCAGTTGCTACAAAACATGGCCTGAAATAGATGGCATGCCTTTGTGATCAACTGTAAGTAGTGGGGATAAGGCCACATGTGGCCTGTGGCCCTGTGACAGTAAAGTTCAGCCTGCATTAAAGAATGTGTTCTCAGTTGTTTGTGTATGTGCCTCTGTGCGTGTGTGTGTGTGTGTGTGTGTGGGGTTGGGTTCAGGGAGGGACTGTGGCTGGCTGCCTGGAGGGCTGATCAAATGATTGTTGTGTAACATTTAGCATGCACACATAACACAGAACATTAGAAAATCCAACATAATAAAACTGTATCTCAGTCAGATAGGTACATTTTCAAACTGTTGTAGCCAGTTGTATTACAATGTAATGTGCATGTATGTCTGTTTAAACTGCATTTGGAAGTCTGATCTTTACATGTATCCACACCCAAAGTCCTCCTAGGTGGGCTTTTTGCTTGACTACTTTTGTGCCTCCTAAATGCAACTTTTCATTTTCACATTTTCCTTAGTTCCTTGGTCAGGGATTATACTTTATATTTTATTTTTAAAGCACTTTAAACAAAGGTGTTCTGTAGTGAATGTTTTCATAATTTTAATTGGTGAAGGTGATATTTGTCCAATAGAAGAAGGATAAAATAAATAAATAACTTCATAAAATTGTCTTTTAACTTCTTATGCCTTTCCTTTTTTAAAAAAAATGTTCCATCCGCCAGTGGAGCCAAAATTATCCAATTGCCATTTATTCATTTTACATCATACATATTAGATTCCTGGACATAGTTTCTGTATATGTTCAAAAGTGCTAGAGACAGGATGTTGGTGTCCAGACCTGAAAATCAGTTGGGGGTGGAATGGAGTCAAAGGCAGAGCTGGAGAGGGCAAGCAGGATCCAGAGGCAAGCTGTGTTAGGAAACCAAGAGGGCTACAGGAGAGTGGAGTCCACAGCTAAGTCAGAGAACCAGGAAATCAAGAGTTAAGTAGAGAGAGTCCTCAGGGTACAGCTTAGGATCAGGAAAAGCCCTGTTACCCAGGTATTCCCTGTTCTTTTTCATGATCTTAAATAAGAGATGTGGGAGGTCAGGTGGTAGGTGCCAAGCCACTTGGGTACAATAGAGTTGGCATAGTCTTGGGCACTGACCGTGGTCTTACAGAAGCCCTATCTGGACTCTGGAAACAGCAGCAAAAGTAGGCTGTGTTGGTAAGGCCAAGGCCCTGGGTTCAGTGTCGCAGACCTGACATTTCAGCCACCTCCCCACTTAAGATAAGCCCCTAGATGGTGGTTCTGATTTATTGAGGTGGTTCTTATGGAATGCCTTCAATTAAAGGGCATGGGCATTTTCTTCAGGTTAAGATGTGTGATCTTCAGGCCCATCCCTCCCAACCACTGAGGTACCAGAGCTTCCCCTGTCTCCATTTTGGGGCCAAGACTTTCACAAGAGATTGGGGAGACTGGGTCTGATGCAGCAAAACATTTTCTATATATCATCTGAGATGGGATACATGGAATACTTGATGGGCCTTTAGGGTTAAAGGTTAGTTTGGGTCATGGGGTTGATCTGCTGGCTAACACAATAGGCTCCTAGGACACAATGGTCCATTTTTTTACAAAGGTCAGTCTGTATGGAGCTGTTCAGCAGAGAGTTACACTTTCTAGTCAATGGGGTGGGAAAGCCCTGGACATCAGTTTAGGCCAACCTGTGTTTTATAATCTTCCTAGGCCTTTTGAAAATGCTGTGTCAGTTGTTTTTGGATGTGGTGCATGTGCTGTACCCAGTATGCAGATGTGGGGTTGGTGGATCTGTTAGTGCCAGGTGACACTGGGATGTAGGGGCAAGGGCAGAGCGACTAGAACTATAATTTGCAAAGAACGAACTTTGCCTTGTGAAGTAACAAAAGGGAGGACCAGTTATCTTGTCAGAAGTTAAGGTAGCAATGGAAGTACCTGCAATGGAAGGATCTGATTAGTCCTTTCAGTTTGGCCGTTAGTTTGACGATAAGAGGGAGATGAGTGTTGGGTTTAGACTTCCAACAACTGTAAGGCTTCCTGCCAGAAATGAGGGATGAATTGGCAGCTTGGTCAGATGCGCTGTATCTTGGGAGTCTGTTGATCCAAATCACATGGTCTACCCACAGCCAGGCTTTGTCTTTAGCAGAGGAGCAGCCAGCACATGGGAAAGAAGTGGGACAGGTTTGTCATGGGAAGTTCATGAAAAAAGCTTGAGATATGAATTTCTACAGTGAAATCTAAGTCAATAGCTGCCCATGGCTGAGGAGAGGTAGGAAGGCATTTGAGGAGTCTGCTAAGCTCCTGATGAGGCCTGTTGGTACGCTCGCATACACCACAGGAGTACACAAAAGCCTGTACTGTCTTTTGCCTCTGTGGCCACCAAAAGTAGTGAGAGGTGAGTTGGTACATTGGTGCCATCTTAGGGTGTCTCAACAGTGGAGAATCATGGCTGAGATAAAGGACAGTCAACCTGACAGGGCCAGGGGCACACTGAACTTTCTCCTCATAAAGATAATTCCCTTTTTATGTGATGTGGGTCTTTCTTGACAACTTACTTGTCCTCTGGAGGTACTTTTAAATATCTTTCTATAGGTTGTAGGTAGGCTGTAGCCATTCAGTAATGGCCTGAATTAATGCTTGCTGCTGGGTCCATCTGGACCATGTGAACTTTAACAATTCTGAGAGTACGCTACCTCAACCTACTACCTGCATCACAGGGATATCACTTTCTCCACTCTGCCCACATCTGGGTAGTCACTGTAATGCATTGAGTACTCAATGGGCACATCTATATGTCTCCATGTGGTGATGTTGCTATGCTACTGTGCTTTAGTACTTCCTTTTGGAAGTATTAGAACATGTCACAGAAACAACCGATACTGCTCCATACAGGCAACGCACCCTTAGATTTCCCAGCTATGCTGCCATAGTGACATGCTGTAAGTGGGGAGAGCATCATTATGACAACGTAGCTAATGGTCCCGTGTAGACCCATGTGATTGCTACATTGCCCTAGCATGCCATACAGAAGTGTAACCCATTGCTACATCACCATAGGGTGATGTGTAACCATGCCTTCTTTGCCCGTATCTGGGTTGAGATGGATACCTTGAGGAAAGAAGTGCCATTCAAGCCCTGGAGGACCATGGCTATGGACTGGAGCACTTGGAAGGCATGAAGGACTCTGAAGTCACATGGCCAGGCCAGCTGCCTTGCCTAGAGCGCTACCTTGAGGACTATGTACTAAGGTGAGGGCCCCAGATTGTGAAGTAAAAGGAGAACTTTGTTTGTTCTCCAAGAATCTGAGGTAGACCCTTGAGAAGACTGTACCATCATCTTACAAGAATTTGTACCTATCTTCAGACCATGGGATATTTAATATTGTTGCTGATCTGGAGACTCAGGGGTGGGAGACAGTTTGGTTACAATTTTTGGATTCATGCTCACTCGGGTACATTCATATGGGCTCACATACTTGTTTGGCTCAAAGGAATTACACCTTAATAAGCTTATTTAATTGTCACATGGATATTTATGTATCCACACTGGACATAAGTAGCAATGTCACCTGTCCATAAGTACAAAAATTAACATGAATATACTTGGATAACTGCCATTGGGGATATAAAGTGAACAGTTTCTAAGAGCTAAAATTTTGCTCTTAGTATCTGGTCCACAAAAGGAGCAGCAAATTAAAACTTTATCTTGAATGGTGGAGGTCTGTGTGGAGGACTTGAAAGTCTAAGGTTCAAGCTCTGCTAAAGTGGTACTGAAATGGAACTTGGTTACCCTATGATTTTACTCAAAGGAAAAAAAAAACCTCCTTCAAATAGTTAGATATTTTAAAGGAATTATAATCTATCCAGGATGGGCTTAATAGTAAAACCTCACACACTGACAGATTGAAAGCCTGAAAGGTAATGCTGTGATGAAAAACAGAGTGACCAGTTATTCACTGTTACTGAGCAGATTTCATAGCGGTTTGCATGTGCTATCACATGTTGTGTTGTGTTGTGTTGTGTTGTGTTGTGTTGTGTTGTGTTTGGGGGGTAATTTTTTTTCTGGAAAATATGGAGTTTTAAAACCCCCTTTTGAAAACCACATTCTTTATATTCAGTGTGTTATTTATTTGGAAATCAAGCTTTCCTACAAAATATGTTAGCAGAATTTCTGTAGCAAGCCGTCTTCACCACAATGCACTACAATAATAATATCTGGTTTTGTTTTAATAACCATTTGTTTGAAAATCTGTCTGTCTCTCTTTCTGACCTTTATAATTCTGTCTAAGGGCCCCTGACTAAAACTGTCTTCTAAAACTGAGCTATGAGCTTTCATCTGATATACCAGAGTCAGTCAAACTACCAGAAGAATGGTTTTCATCCTCCAGACATTTGATACTGTACAAGGTAAGGTAATGTGGAGTGTTAATGACATAATGTATAAGAGGCAGACAAGAGTCTTTGGGTAAATCTAATATATTTTACTTGATCAACTTAAACAGTTGGAAAAGTTCTTCTTAGTATGCTTGCAGGTATAAATACCCTTCATCACGCTGAGGAAGCGTCTGCAGTTGGTGTGTGCTCACCATATGGGTAACCCATCTTTCAGATCTGCTTCAATGAATATTTATGACTTGAATACAAAACAGACAGTTCTTACAAATGAGAGTGAAAGCCAGAAGTTGTTAAATACTCTGTAGCATGGTGGTATAGTTATATAATACATATATATATATTTTTTTTGGGGGGGGGGAGGCAGGATTATGGAGAGAAATATGGGAGTCTTGTACATCTTGGGGCTGATATTTTCCCACTTGTTTTCACTTCATCCTGCTCCAGTTGAGCAAAATGCTATCCCATCACTGTGTATCCATTTTATCCAAAGGTTATTAAATATAACTTACAGAAAAGCCACTGGAAACAGGGGCCAAGCTAACGCCTTCCTCATGTTTCCTTTGGCTTCCTCTTCTTTTGGTCCTACATATTTTCCCACATTTCCTCCTCAGTGAGATAGTTTAAGAGGAGTCATGGAGATTACTCTGGGCAACATCTAGGCACAGACCCAATGATTAGGGCACCTCGCGGAGACTCTGACAGGTGGAGCAGAAATTGGCCCTTAAGGTCAACAAAGGCTTTAGCATATGATTGTGAAGTTAAATGATGACAAATATTACTCTTTTAGGGTATATTTAAGCAAGTATAAAATGTTTAAACATATCTTTCTTTCTTCCCAAATATTACATGTTATTTTTAATAACACTAAGGCTGTGGCCTGTTCCTGCTCATTTTGGCCACCAATAATTTCATTTTTTCCCCCCAAAATATGACTGTCGCAGGGCACCTCAGTGCCTGCTCCTAGGGAGTAGAAACTGCCAGGGAGAGAGAGCCCTGGCAGAACATAACGAGCACAGCTGCGGGTTGCCAGGGCAACTAATGTGAGTCAGCTGGCCAGAAGGGGGCAGGGCCTGGCCCTCATAAAGCCCAGGGCTGAGGCCAGGCTAGTAGTTCCCTGCCAGCAGCCAGAGGGGCAGGAGTTCTAGCAGTTAGGATTTGAGGTGAAGCCTAACAGCAAGTATAGCTCGTGAGAGCTCCAGAGGCTGGAGTGGTGATGTTGAATTGCAGCCAGGAGGCTTATGTTGTTAGGTTTGAGTTATAGCCTGGAGGCTGGCAGTATGTTTTGCTTTGCTATTACACCTGTGGTTTGGGAGAGGCTATAGGGGTTGGAGGAGGCCTCATAGGGACCCACAGGGGGTGGGACCCTAGTGCCAGTGAGGGTGCAACTTGCGGGGTGTGTAGACCCCAGCCCCAGAGAGGGGTGTTTTGAGAAGCCCCAGTGCAGGTGTGACGAGCCCCAGGAGGGGGCTTTACCAGGAGGCCCGAGCGTGGGCGTGGCGAGCCCCAGGAAGGGGGAGTGCACTTTAGGGAAGCCCAGCGTGGGCACAGCAAGCCCCGAGAGGAGGCACCATTATTAAGGAGCCCAGCGTGGGCACAGCGAGCCCCAGAGAGGGGGCGATATTATTGAGAAGCCCGGCGCGGGCATGTAAGGTCCCAGAGAAGGGGGATTATTGAGAAGCCTGAGACGGGTGTAGCGAGCCTGGCTGTAGGCTAGTGTGGCAACAGCCCTCAGATAGGGGCAGGGTGCTGCGGTGGACCCCGACGGAAGGGGTTAGTAGTACAACGCCCCAGGAGAAAGGCAAGGTGCTGCTGTGGTCCCCAACCAAAGGGGATAGCAGTGCGGTGAGCCGGGATCAGAGAGGGTAGCCGTGCGGTTGGCCTAAAGGACCGGAGACCCACTAGAGGGTCCCTGAGCGGGACAACACTTTTAGAGAAGGCCCTGAGTGGGCTCGACAAGAGTCCCAGTGAGGGGCTGTGTATTAGAGAGAGCCCAGGAGTGGGCTAGATTACAGAGGAGGCCTGGGAGAACGGGCGTGTATCGTGACAAACCAACGTCCAGCACATCTGCGAGGCTTGGGGCGTGGTGTTAGGAGTTGGTAGGAGCCACATGTGGCCCTAAGGCTAGGGTGCCTGGGGAGCATCCGTCGTACAGGGGGACCCCCCGGGGGGTCCAGGAGAACACAGAGACCACGGGGGCGGAGGCCCTGATTAGCCGTGCCCAAGGAGGTGTAAGGCAGCCTCCCGAACTTACTGAACATCAAAGACGTGGCGGGCAAGAATAAGAGGGTGCCCTTGGGCCGGACTTGACACAGTGAGAGGGACCTCAGGGATATCACGGCCCTCCTGAAGGACCCCACTGTAACAATGACCATGGTACATATGGCTGTTCTCTTGTATTAAAGAATCTCTATATTCAGCTACATTGCCATCAAAGAAAAGGACAAGAAGGATCAAAAGTGATTCATGGCAGACAGAGACACTCATCAGAGTCAACAAAGACTAATGTATATCAACTGCTAAAGGGAAGGGACCAGTAGAGGGCATGGAGATTGGAAAGAAAAGGAGAGAATGACATCTTTCTGAATCTGGGTCTTTAGAATAAGTCAGTCTGAGCAGCTTTCCCTGTTAATTTTTACTATATACAAGGAAGTGAAAGGGGCTCTGAGAAGGGTGATAGCCAGAATGTGCTTTCTGAACTCTGGGAGATAAGAATCAGAGAAATAAGAAGAGTTATCAAAAACCAGAAAAAATGGGCATTTTTATTTTTGTTGTCCTGTTGCTTTGTTTTGTTTTCTAGAAGGAGATTTCTTTTCCCCCCAATGCTAGGAAATGAGTCTGGATGTTTACTCTGTTAGTGAAAACATTAAAATCTGAAAAGGTTTCTGTATTCAAGGAACAGGTCATCCAATAGGTCTTCTTTTCATTAGCCAATGTATATAATTTCCCAAACCCTCCCAAAATGTGGCTTTAGGTTTGCAGTTTTTTGCCTATTTTCACTGCCCACCAAACTCCCAAACCAAACAACAATCTTCCATGAACAAGAAAGAAAAGTTAGATTTTTCTTTTCTGATTATTTTATTGGAAAAGTTCAAATAAAATTCTGATCAAATCTCCATATATGATCATTTGGATAGGAATGTAGAGACTGGAGATACCAGCAATGGCTACCCACTAATCTTCATAATGAATTGTCTTTATAAATCCTACATACAAGTTTTGTGTCTTCTCTATTTTAAATATGGTGGAAGTGAAACATTTGGGGGAAAAGAAGGAATGGAGGACAAGAGGCAGGTTTGTAATGTGCAATGGGTATTATAGGTGCATCTTTCTGTAATTGTTGTTATGCTGTTTGTTTAATATTTGTGTAGGAAGGAGAACTTGGTGAATAGTTGACAAACTATGCCACCTCGAAATATTCAGGGAAAAATGTTAGTTGAAAAATTCATAAATGTGCAGAAAATAAGAAGAAGATTGCAACTATATTGTGTCGCACCAGTGTCACCTCCATGTTTGACAGGGTCCTCTAGGGAGGCACGATATAAATAGTAAATTTGATATACCCTGATTCTAATAGGCCTTTTGATACTGTCCCAAAAAATATTAATATAAGCAAAGTGGAAAAATATATTCTGGAGAAAAACACTTCAAAATGGGCAGCAACTGAATGGCATGTTCTAACAATAGTTAACCATGGCTCATGTCAAATTGGGGGGAGTTTCATGTGTGGCCATCAAAGGATTTGTCCTATGTGTGATATTTCCTTTGATGACATGCATGCTAAAAGAGAGAATAAATTTATAACATTATATCACACTGCTTATCCAATGGTACAACTCAGATTAATGCTTTATTCCTTTTGGAAAAGTAGATACCTTTAGGTAACTAACCGGCATAATAAAGCTGGCATTTCACTTTATGATCACTACCCTAATTATTGGACTGTTTCCCTCCCCTCCCCATTTCTTAATCTCCAGCATTCTTCCCAGAGAGACAAGTTCGGTAGTTACTATGTTTTACTCAGTGCCGAAGAGACTTTAAAAAGAGTACTGTATGAGGTTTAAAGCAACTTACTTTAAAGAAGACTTTTAGTGGAGGATTTTGAATATAGGTTAGTTCAGGGGAGGGCAAAATACTGTCTGTGGGCCTGATTCATCCCACAGTAGGTCACTTGTCCTCACCCCAGCCCAGGCAAAGGGGAAGCAGGGGTTATGGCACGTGTGGCCGGTCCCACTGCCTCTGGGCATGCAGCACAGCTTAGGCAGGACAGCTGCTAGAAAGCCAAACTCCATTTCCCAGCAGCCCCAGTGTTGGCTCCTTCTAGCTGCTGCTGCCAGACCCATCCCTGCTGCCTGGGCACCCCAGCCCACCCACCCTGCACCCACTGACATGGCCAGGACCCACATAGGCAAGGCACATACCTGGGCAGTGGGGATGGGACTGTAGGCAGGCGGGGAGCCATGTCCAGGAGCAAGATGGGCAGGCAGGCTAGGTCCCAGATACAGCTCCTCGTCTGCTCAGACACTCTTCCTGTCTCCCTGGCTGTGTGCTCTGCCTGCACGGGTCCCAACTGGTGTCCGTGGGTAGCGAAGGATCTCTGGGCACTGACAGGGTGCGCCCCGGCCCAGGGCTGGGGTCAGGACTGGGGCAGAGCTGCTATCTACTCCTTGAATGCCCCTGCCCATGGTACTGGCACCCATGACATAGGCATGAAGGCAGCAGTTCATGGCTCTGCCCCAGCATCTGCCTTGCATTATCATTAGGGCTGTGCAAAATTTTGCCACCAGTTTTGTTTCGAGGTCAAAACAGCAAAATCAAAACAGAATAGATATGGTCAAAACAGCCTCAAAACAAAATGAAGCAAGTCAAAACATTTCACCATTTTGATGCTGTTTTGACATTTTGCTCATAAGCTATAATGGGGAAGTTTGAAAAAGCCTGTAACTTTGTCATTTCTAGCCATATTTGGAGGACACTTGCAGGTAGCCCCTTCTGAGGGCATGCAGTGTTCAAGGTATCAAGAAGATAGGTGCAGAGGTTTCAGAGAAACTGCACCCAAATTCTTGAGAGCCAAACTTGTGTCACGTGTATGTGTTAAGCCACAGCAGGGTCAAAACTTCAGGCGTGCTAGCCTCTCTGGAGGCCACAGAGCCTGCCAAATTTCATGGAGATAGGTGCAGGGGTTTGGGGTAAACTGCACCTCAAGCTGTGGATAAGGAAAACTCATGCCATGAGTGACTCTGTGTGTGTGTGTGTGTGTGTGTGTGTGTGTGTGTGTGTGTGTGTGTGTGTGTAAAGGCGCAGCAGGGTAAAAGCTACAGGCCTGCTAGCCCCTGCTGAGGCCACGAAGCCTGCCAACCATCGAGGATATAGGTGCAGGGGGTCTGGGCTCTGGGGCCCTGAACCTCTAGCTGCTGACAGGCAAAATTCATGATATGGGTGCTTGTACAACTGCTGCCTCTCATCAGGGAGCGGGGCTGAATATCCCCCATCACTTGCCACCACAGACCTGGGAGTAATAATTGACCACAGTATGAACATGAGTCAGCAGTGCGATGCTGAAGCCAGCAGGGCCAACATTACACTGGCATGCATCAATTGATACATCTTCAGCAAAACCATTGCAAAGAAGTGATTCTCCTGCTCTATTTGGCTCTTCTCGGCTTAACACATACACGTGACACAAGTTTTTGCATTCAGGATTTTGGGGTGCAGTTTCTCTGAACCCCATGCACTTATCTCCTTGAAACGTGGCAGGCTTTGGTGCCTCAGCAGGGGCTACCATGGCTTAACATATACACGTGACATGAGCTTTGCTTGCAAGAACTTGGGGTGCAGTTACTCTGAACCCTGCACCTATCTTCTTGACACTTGGCATGCTTCATTCCCTCAGAAGGGGCTACCATTCCTGCAAGTTTTTCAACCAAATCAGGCTGGAAAATAAAAGATATAGCCTGTTTCGTCCTTCCCCACTATATCCTATGGAGGGAAGGTTGAAACAGGGTCAAAACAGCAAAACATTTCGACAAAACAGAACATCTGTTTTGACTTGAAACAAAAGTTGAAACAGAACACTGTTTCATCAAAATGTTGACGAAACACTGGTCGAAATAGAATGCTTCTGTTTCACGCAGCCCTAATTGTCATCACCCACGTTCACTATCACGATCCCAGTCCCCAGCCCTGGACACGCCAATCCATCCTGCTTCCAGATGCTCCCTGCCTGCCTGTGGCCCCACCCAAGCCACTTAATCATGTGTAGGGGCCACTTAGAGCGTTTGAATGAGTTGGGGGGCGGGAATGTGGTGGGGGCTGAGTCAACCCACTAAAGCTCACTGAAACTCCCTAAGTGACCCTCTGATCAAAGTAATTGTCTAGTCCCTTGTCAGGGATGGCTTAATCCTATCTCAGAGTACAGAGATAGAAGAGGTGACCTAATGAATTCTCTCTGGTCTCTTAATTGACTCAATAACGTGGTTTGACCAGGTTCAAGAGACATGGAAAGTATTGGGAGATAAGTAAATCCTCACTTCAGAAGTAGGGGTTTCAGGACAATTAGAATCTGCCTAAATTTCAGGTACAACATGTACCTGTGTCCTGTTTCTTAAGGCTTCCTTCCAGCTGTGGTTAAACAATTCCTTGTTTTTAATAGACTAGTTTATGCCATATTATTAATGGATGGGGTAAAATAGACACATGCTGGTGGCTCAACAACCACGCAATTGGAGGAAAAAAATCAAATTGGGTCTGAGCTAAAACTAAAGATGCTTACGCAAGTTACATTTTTTTGTGTATCTGGCCCCTAAATGCATTCTACAGCCTTGACTTAGTACACAGGCATGGCTGCAGAGCACTTTAAAAATAGTCGATTGCACAAAAATTAACCCTAGTCAAATGAAGCATTCGATTAAGGTGCTCTAAAGCAGAGTGCCTTGGGGAACTTGTGCTCCCACCAACATTAATTTTTCACTCAGGGATGGGGCTGTTAGTTGGGGAGGGAGGGCAAAAGGGAGGGAGCCGCCAACACAGAGCCAGCTGCTTTTGAATGGGTTAAGTGGAGGGGAGTGGGGTTGGAGGGAACTCCCTTATCTCACAGACTCCCCCCCCCCCCACCCTCTCCAGGAGCTGGGGCAGCTCCAACAGTCACCCGGAGCCTGGCAGCACTCAGCTACAGTGGCCCCACCTCCCAGGCAGCATGGTGTGCCCTGCCACGCTGTGCTGCACCTCTGTCGTGGGGCTGCTGCTGCGTGGGTGCCAGGCAGGGTTGCAACCCCCGCTGCCCCCCACTACCCTGTGCTGCATGGAGGGACTCTGACATGAGGACCCAGAGGTCCCAATCCCCACTCCTTCAGCCAGTGAGTGTGGGGCTTTATTCTTTTTTTTTTTTAAGCTCCGCAGTCACCTGCTGCAGGAGAGGTGATTGGAGCCTCTGTATGCTTGTGGCAGAGCCCCACCATGCAGTGCGGGGCAGTGGGGATCGCCCTCCCCGGAATCTGCCACCCATGTAGCAGCTGTCGCATTGTGCAGGTGAAGCATGGCTTGGCTTAGCGCCACGCGCTGTCTGGGAGCTGGGGTGGATCCTGCAGTCCTCTGGAGCCTGGCAGTACTCAGCCCCAGCTCCCAGGCAGCATGTGGAACCCTGCTGAGCTGCGCATCATGTGCACCATGGGGCAGCTGCTGCATGAGTGCCAAGCAGGGGAGGCAATCCCCGC